AGGAATGGAACAAATCGCAAACGAATTCCAACGTGAAGATTATTTCTAGGACGAAATTTTCGCCTAATAATGGTCCTGTGATTAGTGTTACTGGTACCCGATTTGTGCCGATATTTACAGAACATCCTGAATCGGTAATACTTAACATTCTCAAGGCGATTCAGCTATCTTCGCCAAACGTAAGAGATGAGCAGAGTGTGAAAATAACTAGCACGCAACAGTTTGACCATCTGCTTAATGATCAACAATTGACTATTCTTAAGATAACAGAGGGCTTACTACCCGATGCAACCCGTTCTGCTTTTATCGATCGAATGATAGAATGTATACGCAAGAACAATTTTCTAGGATGCTCAAGGACGGTATTGTGGCCGAGTTTATCGAAATATTTCCCTAGATTGCCCAGCTTTCCAAATTTCGGAGGACATCTTCAAGCAGCAAACAATAAGTCTACATTATCTCAGAATCTGACTGACCCATCGCCGTTGTCGGAGACTGATGTGAAAGTCGGTCAACACGGAGATGCTACTGTTACCATTACAGATACTAGATTTTATCCGATTTTTTCGGAACATCCAGAAGGTGTAATTTTAAGAATACTTAAAACCGTACAGCATTCTACGCCGGAAGTCCTGCCTTCAATGATTACTTCAAGATCGCCGCATGTTACGTCTTATTTCACGGAACAACAAGGTAACATCGTTCAAATTGCAGAAAGTCTATTACCGGAATCAGTAAGACCAATCTTCGTAGAGAGGATGATCGCTTGTGTTCGAGAGAGCACATTCCTCGACTGTACAAGGAATATAGCTTGGCCGACAATTGCTCAATTCTTCCCGAGATTGCCAAACTTTCCCAATTTTGGAAATTTTCAAATTCTGCCAAGAACTAAACTCGATTTATCATCGATCATACTACGTAACGTTTATTCCGGTAATCAGACATTTAATGAAAAAAATGAAAATATATCAAAAATTGCCATAGAAACAATTGAGGATAAAATAGAGAATACATTGAAAGATTTGCTAAGTAAGAACTCATCACCGCGTTCAGAAAATTCTTACCTAGACGTCAATAATCCTGTGATAGGCACTTTTTTGACTGCTCAGGAGATGAACATTGTCAGATTGGCGGAGAGAGCAATACCGGATTTGATACGTCGCGAATATGTAACCAACTTGTTGGACTGCGTGAGAAGCAATAATTTCATGGCCTGCACCCAGCATATCACTTGGCCAATTTTGAAGCAATTTTCACCAAGTATACCAAGCCTCGAAGAGTTATTCGGTCAGTTTCAAACTCCTGGTGCTGGTCAGATTCCCGGTATAAGCCTAATTCCTGGCTCTGGTCAAATTCCTGGTATTAGCCAAATTCCGGGCTCTGGTCAGATTCCCGGTATAAGTCTAATTCCTGGCTCTGGTCAAATTCCCATTATTGGCCAAATTCCTGGCGCAGGTCAAATTCCAGGTGCAGGTCAAATTCCTGGTGCCGGCCAAATTCCTGGAGCCGGTCAGATCCTTGGTATAGGTCAACTTCCTGGTCAGATCCCGAGTTTTCCTGGAAATCCTTTCGCCGAGCGTCCTGGCATACAGTTTCCTCTCCCTCAACGTCCTACGGTACCGAGTGGAATTCAAACTGGCATTCCTCAGTTTCCAGGATTGCCTAGCTTTGGCGGCATAAATTATCCGCAAATTCAAATCCTGTCGGATACGCCGAAAGAGTCGAAGTTGCAGGAGCCAAAGCTACAGGAATCGAAGTCGCAGGAATCGAAATTGCAGAAGTCGAAGCAGGAGCTGAAATCTCAAGAGCAAACAGTTCAGTCGAAAGTTGCGCATGCAGTGGAACAGGCAAACCAGATAAGTGGAGAATCGAGGGCTTCGAACACTGCGTCAGTAGGTGAATCAGTCTTATCCGCTAAACACATATCGACATCCCTTCTCAATATTCAATTCATTAATCTTTAATTTTGTTTATTTTCTAGACGAGCAAGGAACCATCCCCGAGTATCTTGGACAGCCAACAAACATCCTCATAGATACTTCCAAGGAAAAAGTCCAGTTGTCTGAATTTAAGCAACAATCATTGTCGGAGTCCGTTCCCTCAAGCGCATCATCCAAGAAACACAAAAGGAGACGAAGAAGTACTGATCAATTATTAAATTCTTACTATGAGACCGAAGGAGAAATTGAACAGACTTCGAAGACGACAATGGATAGTATGTTCCCGAACATCACGGAATCCGATTTTCTTCAGCTTCTAGTTAATATTTCCAAATCTGAACAATTTTTGGAAGAAAAATCCAAAGATAATTCAAAGGAATATTTTGTTGATACATTAAATTATACAGTCAGAAATTCTCTAACTGCCGATCAGTACGAAATCTTGAAACTAGTGGAAGATTTGAACGAACATACGGCAAATCGCAGTTTTCTATCGCGAGTAGTTCGATGCGTACAGAGCTTGAGCTTTATCAGATGCATGGGCATTTTTGTCTGGCCAGTAATTACTAGTATCGTGCCATCTATCTTGCCGTCCTTACCATCATTTCCTATTGGTTTCGGAAGATCAATGGAAACTGAAGTACAGAATTTCTTCGGTATGTCCACGAAGGATTTCGAGAAGGAATTATTGACGAGAAAGAAATCAATGGAAAATATTTTCTTGGACTGGTATAAGATAGCAATGGAGGATAAATTTCAAGTAGACATGGGTTTCTTAAAGCTTAAGGGTTACGGGAACGGTGAAATCGGTATAAGCTTCAATGGCTTTCGCGAAGGTAGAGCTACGAAGATCAAAGACAACAAGAACTTGCCGAGTATCCTGACGATCATCAGCGATATTATGGAAGAAGTATTGGATCAGCGGCCGGACAACGAGAAGCTGAAGAAAGAAAAAGAAAGAAAAGAGAGGAGTCTGGATGACATGCAAGATGCGAATTTTCAGCTTTTGCAAGAGAGCGATGAGTATACGGACATTAAGCGATCTATAAATGACGATAAGATAATCACTATGTTTCTAGATAAAATCAAGGCCAACGCAACGGACTTCGCCGATGGTGATGTTGCTCAGTTTCTTAACGTAGAGAATGCTTACAATGCTTTCAGTGTACTCTTTGGGACCCGTTTAAACGAAAAGTTTGCGAGCAGATTAAAAGCCTTTACTGAAGAACATCTTAGGAGAGATAATCCTGAGAAGCATATGAAGAATCTCAGGACGGAGGAAATAAAAGTAATACCGTTGAAGGAAGAAATGACCCATGAGCTTCAAAAAGAATCTGTGGAAAGTGACAAAGAACGCAAAAGAGATCAACGTGCAAAGAATGAATTCAGATCTTTGCTGAATGAATTTTCAGAGAATTTAGAAAAGAAGGCGAAATTTTTTATTCAGAAGAACGAGGATCCAGATAATGAAAATAGGATCAAAGATACCGAATCGTCCTCCGACAACAATATACGTTCGGAACTGAGGATTTACTTGCCACGTTTGCAAGAAGACATTATGTCCAAGAAAATCACGAGTGCGGTGATACATCTATTGGTTTCATAATAACTTTCATCATCCAGATGGCCTTGGCTCACGCGAAAGCGGCTGCTTCCATAGCTGGTATGATCAGCAACATGGCCCTTGTATCAGCTATATTCGGTATGATTCGACAAAGTGTATTCGGGTCGGAAAATCCGAAGATCAAATATGTATACGATAATGATCAAACGGGTCCGGGGATTACTTGGCCACATCATCATAGATCATATTATCATCATGAGAAATAGTATTTTGATTTGCCTGCTCAAGTCTACTTATATTTTATGTATACTATATTAAATTCCCATACATATGTTTTGTTAAGAGCTTTATATAAGTCTCTGTTACAGACTTTTCTTTAAGTCTGAAACAAATCGAATTATATATTGGGTTAGCTTTAATGTTTTTATATTAGTATTGTAGTGGTCGCGTTTATAAGACAATGTAATTTCAAGATAACTACTCGATTTCTTTGCATAACAAAATTTTATTATTTCTTAAAAAGAGATTAGTCGAAAAGATAGATATTAATAATTTCTATAGATGTGTCCGTGACATTGTTTTTCGTGATATATTTTATTTACACTTTAGTAACACAGAATTCAAGTAGAATATATTTTCAAAAGTTAGAATATAGATGATATTTAGAATCTGAAGAAACGATATTTTCGTAGATGATTATGGAAACAATCCCTCGCAATTTAATTATGAAACACGCGCCATTTCGAAGGTGATATTTATTTCATTGTCATGGGCTTTATGGTGCTGGGTAATATTTTTTCATATTTTCTTAAAGATTAAGACATAAGTACGGCATTAAAAAATATGTAATACGTAATACGGAATGTATCGCAGAAAAAATATTGAATTGCTAGCGTAAGTTTTTTTTAAGACTGATATATTCTTAAATATATCTGATTAAAAATAAATGAATTGTATCTGTCTTATATAATCCCTATTGTCCCTTCAAATTATAATTATCAATTAATTAATTTTAATGTTATTTTATTTTTTAATAAAATAAGCATTTTTTAACATTTTAATAACATTATATAAAGTTTTGTTAAATTTATATTATAAATAATATAATTATTAAAATTATTTAAATTCTTGAAGTTTTTAAAAATATATATCTAATTTGACTTTTAGAATTCGATGAAGAAGTAAATATAATAAATTATGCGTGCGCTGCAATATTATTCGAAACTGGTGCTGCAACTTTCAAGAACCTTGAGAACAGTCAGGAATAGACCTGAGATTATTCTGGAAGACCACTGAAGGTCTTCTCTCTCTTTTCGTGTATTTCCTCTTTCTTTTATTTATTTTATCAGTTTTGCATGCGGCAAAAGACATACCGGGATGCAACAAAAGCACAAAAGAGACTGGAGTTAAGATCATGATACAACACGCAACCATTAGAATGTTAAACTACTACGAAAATAAGATAATACAGAATAATTATATTACTTTAGAATTCTGTAAATATTATTTTCTGATATTTCTCGCATTGCATACAGGTTTAAAACTACGAATTCTTGGCAGAAACTCTAAATAAAAAAGACAAGAATAGATCGGCAAAAATAGTTGGATTTAAAAGTTGGACACACATCTAGTACGGCATTGTCATAAGATGGAACAGAACCCGATTCCATCAATGTTAAGATTAATTTTAATCTCGATTTAATTTACACTTTATCTTTTTCTAAGAAAAATAAACAACAAACTAAAAAAAGAGAAAAAAAGTAAAATAAATTAATTCCAGCCAAACTTATTTAACACAAAATAATAATTTCATTTAACGGAATAAATGTAAAATGCTTAGAACGTAAATAGTTATACCTAGCGTATACCTAGCACAAAATAAGATATTTTTAGTCAAACACGAACGGCCAAATGGAAGGTATTACATCTTCTTGAACCACTTTTGATTCTTCTTCCTCTGGGATTTTTTCTGTAATCGTCCTCGATTCAATTTCCACAGAATAAGTTAATTCATTCAAGTAATACCTTCAGTAAGTAATTATTAATTATATTATAAATGCTTGTGATCTGATTCATTTAAGTATCATAAAATGTGCATATATACCATTCGTGAGAGTGATGACAATCGATATTTTCCTCGTCCGTGCATATCCGCTGTTTCTGATCAAACACTGTATCGTTAGCGCAGATTACTGGGAATCCATCACCGAAATTTTCACAAACGTGAAATATCCTGCAATTGTAATCCATGTCGGCATAAAAACCGGATGGCATATCCTTGCAAGTAAAGCGAAAAGTTAGATTAGCGAAGATATCGATATCATTTTGTTCATTTGATATCTCCTCATAAGTTTCCAGATGATTTCTATCCTGTAAAACATAGTAATTCATAATTTTTATTACAAAACAGAGATATATTAAAATAATTTCAAAGTAATTGAAAAAAATTCTTACGAAATGGCCCAAAGTAAATTGATTTGTCACTTTTGTATCTGCGTAACAAAAAAGATATACATAAAATCTATCTTCTTTTAAATAATACAAAATGTAAAAAACCTCAAGTAATCGAAATTTCATATAGAGCTAATTTTAAAACTTACTCAACAATAATGAAAAGTTGAACACGTATATTAAAAAATAATTCATGTTAATTGTAATTTTTAAAACGAAAATTTTTTAATTCTTGATGCTGAAATTACAATACCAGCTAACACTATCACTTATTTACTCGATGGATAACGCAACCGACTGCGCGATACTCTTTGTCTGAAACTAAAGAACACGAAGAGCTCAATGACCTTAATAGCCATGTAATTTCTGAAAAGGCCCGTCATTCTCTCTCATTATTGTTTAAACGACACTTAACTATCGCATCCTGCTTTGCTAAACGACGTTTTCGAAGAATCAAAAGAATATTCTAAGAACAAAAAAATCCAATTAATCTTCTCTTTAAAGAAATTAAAAATGGCTTAATAAATTTGTAAAAAAGAAGAAGATAATGATAAATATAAGTTTATTACAAAGAAGTTTGTGTTAAAATTAAAATTTTCTATTATGAAGAAAGTAACGAGATAATACACATACTTAAATTTGTTCGAGATGTTTATTTAAATTAATCTGTGCACCAACAGATGTCGGCTTCATGCTATAAATTACGTGACTCGGTTGAGTATCAAGGTAACTACGTAAAGAAACTTTCACTAGCATCAACCAATCCTAAGGTGTACTTGACAGCTGACTTTCTTCAACACAAGGATTTGCCAGGATCGTATTACATGCTAAATTAAATATAACGTTAAACGTTAAAATTGCGCAATAATATTTATTTATTCATTTGTAATTATTTATAATTTGAAAAACCTAAAAATGCAAACCAAAAGAATATAAAGAAATATTTAGAACTTAACAACTTCTAATCAATTTTTCTAACACTTTTATAATTTTTTGATGTTCTTAAAAAGAAATCTTAAAATTGATCAAGTTGAAACTTTTTTTAATCATTCATTAAAACGACAGAAATTTTTTACATACTTTATTATTATAATTTTTTTATTATTAATTTAAATTTTGTCAGGTTACTAATAGCAGCTTATCAGTCGCGACCTTCGAAGATATGCACTATTTTATCAAAATGTGATTGTGGCGCGACTCTCCTTCTTTCTCTCGCAACGGCAAAGGTGGGATGTCTACGAAAGGACAGCGTATCAACTGCCAATGAGGGAGGCCTTACTTCTGAAGCTGCCTTTCTCTTTGCCTCCGTGCCTCGGTTCAGTTTTCACGGCAGCTTCAGCCAGGAACCACATGCAGAATGTCTTGAAGACACACGAAGGTGAATTCAAAACGTGTACTCCTTTCTGTTCTTCTTTTTCACTCTTTCTGCTCCTGCATGGTGGAAGAAAAAGGACAACCCGTTCGGCTGCGAAAATGTAACTCTAAGGATACCAGCAGTGCATCCTTGAAAAAAATCACAACGACCTTCGCGCTTTTAAAAATCATTGGGCAAAGTGTAACAAGGTATATTGCGACTTTTTATGACGATAATATTGTAGTCTATTATCTTAAGTTGAAAAATGCTCGAAAATATTGTTTTTAAAAATCTCGCAATTTATCGACTATTAGAATAATAGCAGGTATGATGTATTATACTAATAATAAGGAACAGCTTATCAAACAAGCTTATGTCAGATATGTCAGATATGCCAGGCTATAGATTGAGATTGAAAGCAATTAGAAAAAAGAAAATCAATATCAAGTTTAGTAAACTTTGCTTCGCTTGGTTAAAATCTCAATTTTTTAATACGATATAATATTAAACTTGTTATATACTTGTTTTAAATACAAAGATGCTAAGTTTCGTAATGTTCACAGCTGAGTATCCACGTGTGTTTAGGCGCGTCATCTCTCTGCTCAGCAAACGGTGACTTTAATGCATGTACAAACTGTTACGCTTCTATGTTACTTGAACTAATTATCTTCAATACTTAACTAACTCACGAAGCTTTGCACAGTTATTTTTATTTTGTTTAGTTGCAATAATATTGTTCTTTATAATTATTTTAACTTGACATAAGTAAGTATTTAAATACAGTATAAATAAAATTATTATTATTTTTTTTTGGAGAGTTCATTATTCAATATATAAGATTTTGATTTTTTTCATATAAATTTAATCTTGAGATTCGGGAATAATTTTTAATAATAAAATTTTTAATAATAAATTTTTAATAACTTTGTAATGATTTTCTAAATAATGTTCTTCATAAATTACAAAATTTTATATAATAACATAAATTAAATATAAATTAAATTAAATTATACATATTTTTTACTTTATTTAAAAAAATAATTTCCTAATAATTATTATACATATATTTTTGAAAGGAAAAATAATGTTACAAATAAAAATCGTATAATAAACGAATGTAGACATAGATTATTACACGATGCGGTATTTGCAAGGATACTATCGAAACAAAAATATTCTTATCTATTATGTTAAAGAAATGCACGGAAAAGTGCATCTTATTTTGACGAGGCAGTTTCTTTTATAATTTAATTTTAGTACTTAATCGCGAATATTATGAGTTGATAGTGATGCATTTTCTTTACATAAAGCCATCTATCTTTGCTACGTTAACAATAGCTCTAATTAATAGATCCACTTTCAGAAAGTGGAGCGTGGCGCAAGTTCTTTTTCTCTCCACTGTCATTCTTTCCGCTTTCGAGAAGCGGAAGTCTCACGTTCGGGAAAGCATACTGTTTATTGATAGCTCCTCGAGTTTCTAAATATTTTTAAGTCGGTACAAATATAAGTAAAAAGTAACAAGTAACCGTTCGAGTTTTGATCCAGATACTCGAGATAACTTAATAATAAATAATCGAGTATTGCCGATGCATTACGTCAATGGTACCAGGTTCGTTCATTTTTCTTAGATCTGATACGAGTTTGGTGTCACGAGAGATCAGCGTGATTCGGTCCAGTGGTTAGTTTCTTGGTTTATGAAGTAGAAAGATCAACTAAAATAAGTGAAAGGCTCGTGTGTTTTTCCCAACATATCGTTTTACTTCTAACCGTTATCGTCTCATCGATTTTAGATTTGCAGATTTTCTTGATGATAACTTCTTACTCTTCTAAGAAAAACGCCTAGTTGGATTAATTGGAATTCTGATTAAAAATGGATAAATCTAAATTTTCTGATTAAATCTTAGAATCCCAATTAAAACAAGCGGAATTTTGATTAATCTAATCTTCTGGATTTTCAACCATTTTTCTCAATATATAAATATAAATTTATTAATATACTTTTACTTGGCATACATCTTGTCTGAGATAAAAATAATAAATCTTCCTCATTCATAATGCAAACGCTGTTTGCATTATGTTTTTCTTACATATCGTGCTTATACATACATTATATAGCGAGCATTATAAACTGATTGTTACTATAAACTGATTGTTGATAAACTGTTTGAACTAGATCATCGTGCTTTTCTTCTTGCCCGTTTGAATTCCTGTAATAAGACATAGTTTTCCATTTCTCAGATCGATGAGTCCCACGATTATTTTAATTATAAGCTACTGTTAATTGCGGGAGCCTCGCTGCGATGCGAAGACGATCTCGGTTGTTAGACGTTGAAATATATCGAAAGTGTGTGTAAATTGACAATTCAACTTTCATTGTTACCACACAATTGTTAATTAATAATAAAATACACTGCAAATGTTTTTTTATACAATAAAAAGAATATGCTTAGATTCAACCGGGAAAACAAAGGAAACAGTGATTAATAATTCCATCAAAATATAATTAATTATTAATGGTGACAACTGTATTTTTTTTCATGGCCTATTGATATCTTTTCAAATCCACCCACAGAGCACAAAGAGCATACGATGATCTTTGAAAGGAGGTCGGTTATTATACAAAAATTATATTTGCTAATCGTCCAATCGTTTCGAAAGAAGGACAATCAATTTGCAATAAAAAATAAACCGCAGTGCAGCACCATTGCACGCAACCATTAATTTTCTATCGAAATTTCATGCATGGTTACGCAGGTGGTTCATCATTTTCACGATAGTACACAGTGAAAACGCATTGGTCTAATTGCGTTAACATTTCCGGATGGACAAGTCGCCGCTTTCATAATTTTCTTTTGCAAGATGTGCAACAGGCAAATTGTGAGTGACGTATGAGTTAAACGTCCCTACGATAGCTTATAATTTGTTACATGACAGAAAGCGCGATTGCCGTAGTTGCGTGCCTCCTTTCTAGAATCGCGTGGGAGACGCTATCGTCGGTATACGATCATTGTATTAATTATGATTGAATAATGAATAGGCAAAGCATGATCCATGAGAGCATCATCCATGAGATCTTGATCTTTTGCGGCATTTTTTGTTACGCAGTGAGGTCACCGAGTAGGTCTCATTTTGTGTGGGTGTATCTGCCTGAAAAAAATAGTCTCGTCTTCAAGGACGTTTTTGGGCTATCGTGATAATCTTAGCGGTTAGTCACCTTTGCGCCTCGGTATCAAGAAATCGCAGGATATCTCAGCAACTCGCGTGGGATAATAAGCGGTGAGATCGGATCGCGAATTGAGCGACTGATGTAATCGTTTTTACTTAAACACAGGCAACAGGAACTTCGAAGGGCCGTTTAACAATTCATTCGCGAAAGATTGCGCAGAACAATTGCGATTTTGAAGCAACTGCGATTTTATTAGGTGCATAAGCTGCATGGTTATCGGCGTATCGATCTGTTGCGTACATTAACCAATGGAGTTCACTTAGCGAAAACTTTCCCACATTTCTGACGAGACGTACGTTGCATCACGGAGTGACTAATTGAAATGCTCATTTTACAAAGATATTACGAGTTTGCACTTTATCTATCAAATTATATATATAAATCAAATTATTATCTCTCAATTTTTATGATATAAATGTAATAGATTTTTTTTTCAACATAACTATATATATTTATTAAAGAGATTATGTAAATTATACTACGTACGATTCTCTTATAACAGTATTTTTTCATGCAAAATTTGTTATACGTTTGAATTCATATCAGTTATTATGTAATTACAAAGCGTAAGCGAGTAATATATTGTATAATTATATAATTACATTATATAATTACGAAAATGTTAAATGGATTTCTTTTTGTTTACGCTTCTCAAAACAGGTATTAAAATGTTATCTCCACTATTGCTGTTGAGTATGGTTGTGTCCATAATGGGTGGTTACGTGCCGCCTGGACCGAGATTCGGATGCCCCAAAGACGCGATTTACATTTATCCCTGCACTTGTCTTCGGGGTAGTGACAGAGGTTTATACATCCGCTGTGAGAATACGAATCTGGCCAGTCTCAGTATTGCCTTCACGAATCTGGGAAACGAGGGCATGCCGATCGAAGAACTGGTTTTATATAAATGTAACATAGGTGAGTCGATTTAAACACGTCGTAAAAAAAAAGAAATTTGCGTATAATATTCTTGTGGAAGATGACGAAATAAGTCGGTTGAATGAACTATTCCATTTTTATTAATTGACAGTACGATTCTACGGGCCCGCTCTGTATCCATTGGATGTGCGAGTACTCAAGTTTATCGATACGCCATTGAGATTGATCGAAGAGCACAGTTTTCTTGGCGTGAACCGAACTCTTCAGGAGCTTTATGTAATAAACAGTAATCTGGAAAAATTTCCTCGTGAAGCATTACAGATTCTCGGCAATCTCAGTCTGTTGAACATCACGGGGCACCGGATATCTGCCTTACTGGGAAATAGTTTTGGTGAAAGCGCAGCGGCTGCGAAGTTAGAAAAATTGGAGATTAGTAACGGTAATCAGAATCTCATCGCGAGATATTGTTAGTGGGAAACGCACCGTCTCATTGTACAGATCTTGAAAATGATACAATTGTATGAACTCAATTTTTGATATTATGTATACAAAAAATAACATTTTCATCATATATAACTTTTTTATATAATACCTATATACAAGAATATAATTATAAAAAAATTATCAAATTAAAATTCTTGACTGACTTTTATATTTTTTAGGTACACTTTCTTCCTTGCCTGTGGAAGCATTAATGCCACTCAAGAAACTTAAAACTCTTGATCTTCATGGCAACAAAATAAAAGACTTGAAGAGGAATCAATTCAAAGGTCTAAGAGACACCGAGTTCTTAGATATCTCTCACAATTTAATCGACAAATTAGATCCGTCTCATTTGGCCGATCTTGTCAAGATGGGATGGTGCAACATATCGCATAATGCTATCGCCGATTTGAAAAGGTTGACAGACTTGAAGAAAACGGTGCTACTTATCATAAAATTTTCCGCAATGTACCTAAGATTGTTTCTTTCGTTTTAGAGGAACCTTCGCCCGGAATTCCGTCTTGAAAGTCTTAAATTTGAGCCACAACAAAATCAGGAAACTTGATTCAAACACTTTCCGTGGCATGCGTTTTCTTAGACGATTATATCTGAGCGATAATCAAATCGATGACGTGGGTCGTGGAACTTTCGGTTCCGTTACCAGAATTGGCACCGTCGATCTTTCCCGGAACTTCATCAAGAAAATCGATTTCCAAATGTTCAATCAGTTACAATTTGCTGAGGTATCTGAAATAATTATTGCACAAATCTCACACAGTTTTTCTTTAACCTTCTAGGAGGATGACATCATCTTGTCATTAGAAAAATAATTCTTTTATTGATTTTGCTACAAAAATATCTTATGAGTGAAAAATCCATCTGTATGTATATATTTTATCGATGTATATTCTTTCTGACCGGTAGAAGTATATTTTAATGTTCAATATTACATATACATTTTTATTTTTAATATTTTTAAGTTTCATTAATCTATAGAGATCTCGAATTTATATATCACAAATTTAAAATAAATGTTACAAATTTTTTTTTAAATAAATGTTACAAATATGCACTCAAAAGGATTAATAGTAAATTTGTCGTGATAGTTTATAGATGTTTCCGAGAATTTCGTGACAATCGTGGAGAAATTGGCGTTCAAAGATATCTATCTGGCGAAAGTGAATCTGTCTCACAATGAAATTTCAAAGATCGAATCAGGCGCTTTCGAGAATTGTGCGAATATTACATTATTGGATCTTAGCCACAACAAACTCGAGAATATCTCAAAGTATTCTTTCGATAGTGCGTCTTATGCTATGGAATTACAACTTAGTTATAATCTATTTACGTCTCTAAATCAGGTAAAATTTTGGATGGAAACGATAAAATAGTTCACATTATTTCATTAAGATATTTATTTTTATTCTAAATACTATTGACATTCTTTTTTTTTGTAGATTCCAATGCATAACATGACGGGATTGAAAATCTTAAACGTTTCCCACAATTTGATACATTCCGTTCCACGACAGACTTTTCCAAAGCTGTACGAACTCCACACGATCGACATATCGCACAACAATCTATCCGAGATTCATAACGCCGTATTTCAGAATAAAACCATCGACGTTCGGACCGTTGCCGACGCTTCTAGAACTCGATATGAGTTACAATCAATTGAACGACGTTGCACGAGGTAGTCTCACTCGATTAGCCAGTTGCAGGTGAGTCATTGTTGATTAATAAAATGGAAAAATGTTATGCTTGCAATAACATGTCTATTGTATTTCAGGAGTTTAACGGTGAAAAATAATCGTTTGACAAAGATTTTCCAATTGCCAATTTCTCTGGGTCATTTGGACTTCTCGGAGAATCTGTTGGAAGAGATTCCAAGCACCGACGTGTGGCCTACGATGAATGCATTGCTCTCGCTGGATCTTTCGCGGAATCAGCTGGGCGATAACCTGCAAGAGGGGAGCTTTGAAAACCTGCTGACCTTGAGAATCTTAAACCTGCAAGCGAATAACATAACAAAGCCGCCTTGGCAAGCACTCGGCGGTCTGAGCAGTCTGCAGTATCTTTATCTGCAGGTAAGAGAAACTTTTATGGGAGAATTCGTTCTTCTTCGAGGATCAGTAATTTTCTGAATTTTTACTGATGGATATATTTCAGAATAATTACTTGACGAAACTGGAAAAAGCCGCCTTCGGTCGTCTGCCAATAGTATTTGAGCTGAACTTGGCAAACAATAAAATAAGTAACATAACAAGCCGGGCATTCGAGGGCCTGTTGCAGCTGCTAACGTTGAACTTGACGAACAACAACATTAACTACATACCGAATGGCGCGTTTCAGGGTCTAGTATCTCTACGAACACTCGATCTATCGCATAATAAATTGGAGAAGCTGGACAATAAGACGCATGGATTGCTCGATGATTGTCTATCTCTGGAGAGGCTCAACCTTAGTCATAACGAGATATCATTTATCACCCGGAAGACTCTTCCAAATGATCCCTGGATCCCTTATAGACTTAAGGAAGTCGATTTATCCTATAATACAATGCCGGTTGTTACCTTCGATTTCATTGCTGGTGCTAAAAAGATTCAGTATTTAAATCTTTCTCATAACAACATTGATGAGATCAGGAGATGTGAGTAGTAAACCGGAAATGTCGTTAAAATGTTTTTAGCTTCAACAACTAATCAGGTTGCTGTATAACGGCCTATCAGCTTGTCCTTTCTATTGAGAATCGTCGTTTACGAGAACGTTGCCTTATTTCAGATGTAATCGGGAATTTAACGGCTTTACAGACATTGGATTTATCGTATAATGACATAAGTGACATCTCCGAACAAGATGTCTTTCTTCCACCGTTAAATTTAACCAACTTGCATCTGAGTAACAACCATCTAAGCCATGTGCCTCTCGACAAAATTCTATCGCTGCCGAATCTAAAAGTTCTCAATCTGGAAGAAAATGAGATTGGTGTTTTCGATGAGAGATTCATGAAGATTATTCAGAACGGCACGGTGTTCAAATATTCCGGTAACAATAAATTCAATAATTAGATAAAACACATAATTAAACCACTAAAGGATTTTAAAAACTGTATTTATAATCAAGTTTTTTGTTTTATCAATATTTAAAATATATTTATATTAGGTAATCCCATGCATTGTGATTGTCATGTGCGGCCATTGAAGAGATGGCTAAAATCTCAAACGCAATTTCCAATGGAATGGTCGAACGTGATGTGTAAAAGTCCAAATTATCTCGCAAATAAATTTATCTCGGAAGTAACCGAAGATCTTACGAACTGCGGCGAAAGGGATATTCAAGAGGAGCCCGAACTCGACATCACACCTGATGTGAAATATCGAAGCATTGATTAGTATGTGATATATTTTATTGTTAATTTCTGTTATCGTAAATATATCGTTTAAAATTTTCTCGAAGACTTCGGAGATGACGAATTACAATTTTCTTTAGCAATACCGATGATAAGAGTTGGAAAGCGACATGGTACGTAACATCGCGCGAAGATATCGGTGACTTCTACGTAGTGGTTCGGGAATCCGGTAGCAGCAAATCCATGCTCGAAAAGGATGTTGTCTACAGCGAAAGATCCTTCAAAATCAACGATCTGAAGAGATCAAACACCAAGTACGAGCTCTGCGTACTCGCGCGTGACTCTGAAGGGAACGTCAAGCATTATAGAAATTCGCAGTGTCAGATTTTGAATCAGCACTCCAGCTCGACAGATAGTCTCAGGGCGAGCCTGTATTTCGTGATAGTCGTTGCTTCCTTTTGCACTCTTATGAGATTTCGTTAATCTGACGAAGCTAGTATCCGTAGTACTTAGAAAAATATCTTACGTTTCGTGGAGATAGTAAGATAAACACGAAGTTATTATCTTTAGGTATCGCTGATTAAATTTCCGATCGTTCTGCTATTTTAGATTTTTATCTATGTCGCGTTGAAGCGCGATAAGCGATGTGATTTATTGTACAATAAATTAATAAATGTATATTCCTCAAGAAGGTGTCCAGTAAAGAAGCTAACGTTACTTATCGTTATTTTAACGTCAAAATGACATCTTAAATGATGTCAAAATGATGATAAGAACTTTACCTTGTTTGCTGGGTGATATACTGTGTGCGTTGTACATAGAACGTATTGTATTTTTCTCGGAAGTAGGGACGTTGAACGTCGTGTATTTATTTTTGTAAAATATATACGTTGTACAAGTCACATATATTGTTATCATTTAACACAAATGGATTAACCAAAGGTCTGTTCTTTTTAAAGAATATTCTAAACTGGTATAATAAGTTGAATTGAAACAAACTATAATATATTTGTTTCATTCCAACTTACTGTATAAAAAAATGTACACCAGTACACAGTTGAAAACATGCTTTGAAAGAGAACAGCTCTCAAGATTCGACATGAAGAAGAAAACATGTCTAACGGTTATGACCAGATCCTTGCAATTGTTACGTGAACGAGAGGGACGATTAGTCGACGATAAGCGAGCGAATCCTTTTAATCAAGACCAACTAATCCCACGATATTAATTTGCCGTCGCGTAGTCGTCCTGTTCCGCGACTAATAAAGTACTCGCGCGACTTGCTGAAAAAATTCTCAAGGAAGTCAGCGGTCTCCTGAGCTTTGCTTAGTAAGATTATTTCATTATCTCATAAGGAGACCGTAATTAGTATCTACGATAACATATAGTGTGTTTCGTATTAACGTAGTGTGTTTTGTAAAAAGAAGGGGAAGAAGAGAGATCTCTAATGAGGGTGTGAAACAGTGGAAACCGTTGTTTCCGCAAAAGGGCACGCCATCGTGAATTTATTAGCGTTATCGGAAATAAAACGTAATAGCCGATTAGGTTCGCTCGCAACGACGACAATAATGTTGATTTTTCCTTTATTATTCACACTTCGTTAACGCAATTGCGCGTTAGCAATTATCGGTTACCCCACGTAATCACGAGAGAAAGAGACAATATTGTGCGCACGCGAGTTCGGTGGATTAACGGGAATTTAAATTATACGACGCACGGCATATTTGATTAATATAGCTTCGGTTGGCATACCAGAAAAAACAATGCACACACGCCTCTTGCCGTTCTGCTTGACGGCCTGCTCAGCGGCTTGCCCTCTCAATTGGGATTTAACGTCGGTTTAACGCTTAATTAACGAAGTATTCCTCAGCAAAAAGCGCCGATCTTCGTTGTTTTATCAAAGTTACAAATGCGATTTTATGACAGTTAAGAACATGTGTTTTGCAATCTCGTCTGATTTATTTTATTATTACAGCTTTATAATTTGACGGTATATAAAATCTTCCTTATATTATTTTTATTTCTTACATGGTGAATTTTTGTAAAATGAGAATCAGTGGAGATAAAAATGCAAATAGAAAAAAAAAGAGAGAAATATTAAATATTAAAATAATGTTTCAGAAAATTTCTATATTTTGCAATTCTTAAATCCGCGATATCTGCAAGATACAAGATTTCATTCCGATACTGATATCTGGTTACGAAATATCTAGTCAGACACTTTCACCAGAAGCCCAATAATGGCTAAGAAGTATCGTACACGACTGGGTACGAGTTCTCACGAAGAATCACGAAGATGATACTCGTGGGCCCCGTAGGACAGATATCCGCTTGTCTGGGTCTTGTTGAGGCCCAGCAGACCTCGAGATTCTTAGGTACGAGTAAATTTACATTTGTCTCTTCCCTCGTCGACAAATTACCACGACACACGTCGACATTATTGGCTCTCGTCGTAAAAATAGCTGACTCAGAGAAAACAAACACATTTAAATTTTACATCAATTATATTGATCAAAAAATTTCACACGCCTCTTCCATGACCCCATGTCAGCTTGTAATCATTTATTTTCTAACTTGCCAATGGATATCTATTAATTCATAGTATTCGATAAATATCGTCGTTAGGCTGTTAATGTCGTTTTTTTTTCTCTGCGGCAATGGTCACACGAAGCCTGAGCGTATGAATAAAGTAGGCAGAACACATTTACATACGCCGCTTTGGGCAGTGACTCACGATGTATCCATGTAAGGCCCAGAGCGAGAGGTGCCGTTGGCCCCTCGCACGCCTACATTAAAATGCTGCCCGCCCATGCTTCGGCAAAAGACAAAAAGAAGAAGAAAAAAAAAAGAAATAAAAGATAACTCGTTCCGTAAAAGGTTCTTCTGCACGATATCGACTCACGATTCGTTGAGGTATCGAGACCGCGTTTGTGAGGCCCAAATCCTGGCGCAAGATCTCGCGTATCGCTATGTCGGCGCAATCGATTGCAGGGTGATGGAACACGCCTCCGTCTGAATACCACGATGAATCTTCTTCAGCCTATAAATCAATTAGCGCGTGGAACTTGTTATATCTTCCCGCGGTTATTCCGGCCCGCAAGCTCATTCCGGTTACCAGATAAGCATGCCACGTATACATGCAAGCGCGAACGCATACGTGCGATCGTACCATTGCGATCGGTTTGCTGCGGCTGCCACTTTCTCATCCGTGTGTCTTTTGTTTCTCGGTGACAGTGGCGTACAGGGTGCCCCGTTATGCCCGCTAATGGTACAGAATGATACTGATGTTCGTTTCTATCAAGGTAGAACCGAATTAATTTTAATCCTGATTTAATTAACTCTTCATCTTTTTCTAGTTCTAAGAATTAAAAAAAAAATGCTGAGTAAGTTGAACTGAGATTAAAGTTAATCTATATTGGTGGAAACAGGTCGAGTCCAAATCCGGCTGACACGGCCATTTTTACTAATATAGATTAATTTTAATCTAACAATAAGTCTAATTTATTCTCCTAATCGTTTTCTAACTGTTAGAACTAATATGTGTAATAAAATGAAAGGAGAACATAAAATGAGGAAAATTTAAATACAAGAACATTATCACAATCTTCATACATTACATTGGTATATTCAAGGTCTCGGTCTTGCTTACGTAAGGTGGATTTACTGTGAATCAAATGAAAGAATTAAATCTCTCATAATTTGCATCGGTTAGTTTTGACATTTGATTAACACTCGAGGTATTAATAAGATATAAACTTGTCTTTCATCTTTCAATGTTTGATCCACTTCTACGCCACTGGTCGATGCTGCAGTCTGGGTCTGCTGGCGGTTCAAACTCTCCCGCCACTCTCTTATTCCATCAGTGTCTCTCGCGTGTTCGCACGGGGAACATCGCTCGCGCGTCTTTATCAAGACTCATTTCGGTGAGTTCTCGGATTTTTCATTATCAGCGAAAATATTCGTGGTGTAAGATTCCGCTTTCGCGGATAGTGAGAGGAGAATCGGTTCCTTACGGTTCCGGGCCTAGCCGCGTCCATCTAAATGAGAGCCCTTCGCGGATAGTACAAAAATATTCGGTCCTCTTCTTTCCCATCCTTTCCTCTTCCGCATCCGTTCCTCCTTTCTTTATTCCTTTGTTTACCTGTCCCTCACGCAAATCGCGACTACATGATCTTCCACGGGCGTTTCGTAATTACCCGGAGAATGGACATGGCTGACCGTTTCTGGAGACTGGCCCTGTGCTGGATATGCATCGTCGGGCTCGCAGCCGCCAATGGTGAGCGATTTAAATCCAACACATTTAAAACCAATCATGTGATCGTGATGATCCCGTGATTATCGTGATTTTATTCAAAATAATAAGCACGCAAGAGAAAATATAAGGAAATATATATGTTGAAAAAATTCTAAATCGAGTACAGGTGTAACGCTTGATTGCAGCGTTCTACGACAATCAGTGACCAAGAGAAAACATGACAATCGCGAATGAAAGTGACGTTCCTTTGTTCTCAAGCCGATTACGTCGACGATTGGCGGTTGACGCGGCATAACAAATAAGTAGCGTGACACGTCGCAGAATGCATCATAAAGTTTCAAAGCACCTGACGCACGCGCGTCTAAGTAGGATGTCCTAGATCGCGATGCCTACCAGGTATCACGAGAGAGGATCATAGTCTACCCAAAGCGCCAGTCAAGGTTGCGACGTTCCCTCATGCGTCGCGCGACGCGCTCGTTATGACTGACTTTAGCTTCGTTACTGTTGACGTTGGCAGACGTTTTCTTTCCTACTCGCTTCATGGTTCGGCTATTTATAAAAATAGCAGTGTCCAACAATGATAGAACAAACCGACAACCAACACGCACGTATGAGGACGCTGAAGACCGATCGTTTTTATGACTCGCAAAGGCGCGTTTAGATTCCCACTCGAGCGCCAGTTGGGTATCATTTCATTCGTGTTTAATGATCGGCGAAGAGCAAGGATGATACATGGATGGTAATCGGGTGGGAATCTGAACTGTCTGAATATAGTCCAAGGAGATTATTCCCTCGAGATACGACGCAGTCGACACCAATTAAAAGTATAAATTATAACATCAATGTTATAATTTATGCACAACAATGTAACTGTTATTTTGCTCAGCAATGTAACTGTTATGTAACACTGTATCTGGTTTGTCATTATTTGGTTAACTTGTAGTTAAACTAACCTTTAACTTGGTAATGTAAATATTATTATAATTTTCTAGCTATGATTAATCATGAAACTAATAGCTTTGTAGTGATTATTCAATATAAAATCTCAGTTTAGTAATTAATACAATTTTTATACTATTGTCAGATTAAGCCTTACCACAAGTTAACCAGCAAATGGAAAACCGGGCCCAAGTTATATTACATTTATAAACCTGTTCTTTTTCCATACTTCAGAACTGAACTTCTTACACGATCTATCTTTTGTTTTTATTTTCTAATGCAAAAAGAAAAAGAAAAAAGATGAATCAAGAAGTGCAAGAAGTTTAATTTCAGGATATAGAAGAAGAATAGACCTTATACTATTAAATGCGAAATTTTTGGTCGGTATATTCAAGACCGTCTTAAGTTCTGTCTTGAGATGTCACGAACTAATCAGAGGGCCGCATTAGCGTCTTAAGATATTCTTAAAATAAGAACCGACCATGAATACCGACCTATGACACCAATACAGCACACTTTATTCGAAGGATATCCTGCGAATATTCTTAGAACGTAGACGTCCTCGACGCGTCTGCAGAATGTTTCTTGGTGGTCTACGCTGTATATAGGCATTGATTTATGTTACTTTCAGTTTATGTCAACTTCCCTCAAGCTTCTTAGCTTCCTTTGAGATACAAGTTTTA